GGGCGCCCTTATTAATCAAGAGCGTTGATGGTTCATCAAGGTAGGAAAGAGCCACCTAGGAAGTGTATCGGCTTTGGCAAATGGAGGAACATGTTGGGTTCGGTGATCATGTTTGCTGTGGTGCTGCTCATCTTCCTGTTTAGCGATATCGCATTGGCCAATGCCACCAACGCGTTGACATTGGATCCACGAGCAGATACAGGTCCCTACTTCCAAGCCTATTTGTTCTGGATCTTTCTGAGCATCCTCGGGGTGTACTTGGGCTGGATCTGTGGAGCATGTTTTTCTCTTTGCCTCTCAAGAATCATTCACGACAGGGTGGTGCAACAATTGCTCCATGCACCCATCGATCGTTTCTTCGACAAGCACCCGGTCGGCCGTATCATGAGTTGCTTGACCATGGACATGACTGAGATTGATCTTTCTTTGTATCTGAAGGCTGCTACTGGCATTGTGGTCCTTCTCGAGACGCTGGTGCCGCTTGCGTACGTAAATTTCATTATGCCCCGCTATATGTCGTTGGTTGCAATTCCATTTTGCTGCATAGTCTCTGTGCTGCATTTCCAGTATCAAAATACGGGCGTTTCGCTGCGCCGTTGCTTCAAAAAGTGCTCTTCCCTGTTGCAGAGTCACCTGTCAGACGTCATGACCAATACGGTTGTAGTACGCGGCTTTGGAGAGCATCACCGCCTGGCGGCACAGTATGCTCGCAGCGTGGATGACCGTTTGAAGATTCAGCTCACAGGGGAGCGCCTCATGAAGCGCTGGCTTTGCAATCGTGTGAACTACATGTGGACTTTCTACAACTCAATGACTTACATCATCGCCCTCTATAGCGTTTCATGGTTAGGCCCTGGATACCTGGGCATCGCTCTGACCAACTTGCTGCTGATCCAGTCTATGCTTGAACCCAGCATGGAACTCGTGGCCGGGGCCCTCTTCGAAATGATTTCTTTAGCCCGGGTGCATGAGTACACTTTGGTTGTGCAGGAAAAAGCATTCTACACTCCCGAGGATGCCAAGCTTCGCAGCTATTCTGCACGCTTCGAGGCTTCCCCTCCGCTCACCTTCAGGGAAGCAAAGGGAGAGATCGAGGTCTTGGCGAACGGGGAGGTCTTCCTGAATTCCTCCCCTGATGGGAGGTCACTGATGCTGCTTGGGCATCTAGTTCTCGGATTAATACCATTTTCTGAGTTCTTGTTAACGGATTTAATTTGAATTGCCATAATAAGGAAACCCTATTATTTCCTATAGATTCCCATTATGGTAGCTTAATTTGAATCCCTTAACAAGAGCCCAGGATTAATACCATTTTACCTGTTTTTCTTTTGGGACCCCCCCAAGGGTACCTTTTTTTGTGGAGGGGCTTCTCTGGGACCTAGGAAGAAAGAGAACAACAGTAATCCCCATTTGGGGGGCTTTCAGCAGCTGTGCGGCACGTGCGATGAGTTGAAAGAGATTCCCAGCCTGCACCACCTCGTGGCTGTTAACGATGCATGCGGAAACGCACGTGACATAGCAAAGGAGCGCTCACCGGAAGTCTAAGCCCTGAATGCCAAGCCCTGTAAATCCTAAATCCTGAAGCCTAAACCTCAAATTCTGATCTTCGAATAAGCCCTGAACCCTAAATCCTAAACCTTAAATCCTAAACCCGATAAATCCCGAACTCAATGCCCTAAACTTCATAAATCCTCACCTCTTTAGCCTTAAAGCCTATAAACTCTAAACAGTATAAACCCCTGTAAATCCTAAAGCCGAGATCCTCAATCTTAAAAATTCGCAGGAGCTCTGCAGATGTGCCCGGACCTCCACGACCGTTTTGGTTCAGTTTCGAAGCACGTGGCTTTCCGATGGGGTAAGGTTGGATGTACAGGACTTAACCGCGGGCTATGCAGAAGTACCTCAGGATATCCTGAAAGGCGTGACTTTCAGCGTAGAGCCACGCAAGAAAGTGGCAGTAGTCGGCACGACCGGTTGCGGGAAATCCAGCTTGCTACTGGCCCTTCTGCGCATCATTGAGCCACGTGGTGGCAAGATCCTTATCAATTCTGTCGACACTCGACAGATTGGGCTGGCCACTCTACGCGGCTCGCTCGGCTTGGTGCCGCAAGACCCCATGCTGTTCACGGGCACGTTGCGTTTCAATTTGGATCCATTCAACGTCTACACTGATCAGCGCATCCGGAGTGCCATACAGCTCGCACAGCTGGATGCTTGCTTGAAGAAGCTGCCTGGAGGCCTTGACCACGCGGTATCAGAGGAGGGAGGAAATCTCAGCTTCGGCCAGCGGCAGCTGCTATGTCTGATACGCATGGTTTTGAGGCAGCCGGCTGTGTTGCTGCTGGATGAAGCAACCTCTGCAATCGATCCGGCCACACAAGAGGCCGTGCAGGATACCGTCAGCAAAGCTTTCAGTACCTCGACGATCTTGGCCGTGGCACACCGCTTGGAGACCATCATGGAGTTTGACCAGGTTCTCGTGCTTGAAGAGGGCGCAGTGCAGGTGGTCGCAGCCAAGTCTGTTGGCATCTTCAAGCATATGCTGGAGAGTGGATGAATGGGGAGGCTTGGGTTCAAAAGACAAGACTAGCCGCTTCAAAACGAGCGATGGAAAATAATTGCAAGCTTGCCCTGGGCTGTGGCGTGGGGGAATAGGATTCTTCGAGCTTGCTGTTCTCATGTCGTATTGCCGTGGGATTGCTCCTTCTCCCCATACCTTACACCCCTAAACCCCAGGACCAACGAACATGGGTCAAACTGCGAGAGTCCGAAACAGTCTCTGAGGCTTCGGACACCTGGCGGCTTCACGCTGACTATTGTCTCGGGCTCGGGGAAGAGTACATTGTAGCCGGGTATTCTTTGCCTGGACCCTATAGTGCATTTTTTGTGACCTCATTTTCTGATGATAGGATTATAGCCATAAGTTAGATTATCAAAAAAAACGGTACTGCATTGTAGTGTCCTTGTGGAAGCCTTAAAGATCCCCTCTAGATGCCTTCTAGCATCCTTGTAGAACCCCTATAGAACTCATATAAGAACCTTTCAAGGAACCCTTAAAGGAATCCGTAAAGGAACCTTTAAAGAAGCCCTGAAAGTCTCAGTCTGTGACTCAACGCAGGGCTGTTTTTTTTTTTGCTTGGAGTGACACCTTCGGATACCTTCAAAATCATATAGAAGCCTGAATAATAACAAATATGATTCAATAGGGCTCCTTATTGTGATTCGACTATAATATACCCCCAGACTCTATTCTAATTACGAAGGCCCTATATTACTGGCTGGTTCGGGCTTAGGCTTTAGAGTTTTGATTTAGGCTTTAGGGTCTGGGCTTTAGGGTTTAAGCTTTAGGATTTAAGCTTCTGGTTTTGGGCTGAACGGTTTAGGGTTTTGCCGCGGAATAACGCATAAGCGAAAGTATTATACGGCACTATAGTGTCGAGTGCATCGTGCTGTTTCGAACTGCTGTTAAAGCCCCACTGTAGAGGGCTTCTCTTCATTTTTTCCCACCCAGCGCCGTCTCAGGTGGCCAGACCCCACCCTCACCTAGTCCTTTTGGGGCTTAGGCCTACACTCATTCCCGGTCCGGTATGCTCTCTCTTTTGGACCTGCTTGAAAGAGGTGTTGTCTGGGCCGGTCTACATCTGACTCCCTGGACCTTGTCATGGGTTTCGAGTAGGGGAACTCTGTAGGCTTTTCCGGGGTGCGGAGGCTCTGAAACGCCCTGGGGGCCTTTGGGGGCCTGCTCTGTACCCTTAAACCCTTCATACCCTGAGCCTTTCAGCCCTTCAAATGCTGAAACCTAAACGCTATATCAACAGCATGAGTTGAACATCCTGAGGCTTCTCGACCTATGCGTTAGGGTTTAGGGCTTCCAGGCTTTACGGCTTAGGGGTTAGGGTTTAAGGGTTAAGGGGTTTGAGGTTTAGGGCTCAGGCCTGATTGCAGCTTAGAGCTCGTAGCTTCATATCCACAATAAGCCCTGACCTAAATGCCATGCCAGGTCGAGAGCGTGGGACGATCCGGAGATATCCTCGAAAAAACTTCGAAAGCTCGTGCAGGCAACAAGTCGTCTGACGCCGTGCAATCTGCAAATGCGTCTTCCTCAGGTTTTGCTGAAACCCGGCATTTCCCCACATTCTGACAGCAGTAAGCCTGATAAATAGTGAAGGGTCATTGCGCAAGCCTTGGCTTGGTTTTTGTCGCAGGTGTGGATGTTTTCGAGGGAGCTAAAGTGTTCTCGGCGGCTGAAGAATCAACGCTATGAGACTCGAGAGGTTTACCAGATATTTTCTTTCGTGGGCTAGTGTTGTTTAGTTCAGGGACCACCACACTCGATTTAGTGTAATACAGAAGCCTTTCTAATTCGGAATATTTGGTTTAGGGTTCCTACTATATTGATAGTAGAATATACACCCAAAACCTCATCTAATTACTAAGGCCGCTATATTACTCCGGGTTTGGTCTCCCAAAAACTGTCTGAAAGCTGGGCATTGAATGTTGAGATGTTGGTGTTTGGAGGCTCCAAAGCACGGAATTCAACTGGAACCCGGCCCTGCTCCAGACCATCCTGGATCTAATTTGAAATAGAAGCCTACATAATTCGTAATATTATGGTTTAGGATTCCGAATATATAATAAATATAGTAGAATATACCCCAAAACCCTATTCTAATTCTTAAGACTTAAATTACCTTGAGGAACCCTCGCATGCGCTGGCATTCGGTAGACATGAATCATGTCACCCACAGACTATAAGGGGGCTCTGTAAGGGTTCTATAAGGGTTCTTAAGGGCTTGATATACAGCTGAAAGCTTTATAAAGGCTCTTTGAGATTCTATAAGGCTTCTTTAAGGCTTCTATAAAGACTCTTCAAGGGCTTTGTATGGGTTCTTTAAGGGCTCTGTAAAGGCTTTTTAACGCTGCTATAAGGCTTCTTTAAAGGTTCTATAGAGGATAGAGAAGACCCGATGGACGGCCAACATGCCGACCTCGCTGCTGAATTCAGTTGCTCAGGCTACCAAAATGCCAGGCGTCGTCTAGTTCACATATCGGTCCGAACAGCTTAAAGGGGGGGTTAGGGTTCTGTGAAATGTTCCGTTTTATATGTATGGTATAATATACCCCAAAGCCACATTCTAATCATTCAGGCCCCTTTGTCATTCAAACAACGAACTTAGTCGATTTTGGAGCAGCAAATCTCACAATATGGGAGGTAAAGCATCACGAACTCAAGACTAAAGCATCACGAACTGAAGAGGCTCAATAAGTTTGGAAAACAGGTTTACAGCTACATGCCCGCCGTTTGATGGTTCACCTGCGACACGAGATCCAGGCTGCAGCCCTGCTGTCAGAATGAAACGGCTGTTGATGCCAGGCATGCAAGTAGCAAGCCCGAAAGCACTGCAGGGCGGTTGATTGGTGAAGGAAGGCTTCTGGACCTTCGTATCATGCACTGCGTACTGCAGCAGAAGCTGGGGCTCTGCAATACAGAGCTTGGAGTTCACCAGTTAGTCCCCAAAGTACTGCGCATGCCCTGGCCTCCGTTTCGAGTTTCGAGGAAGTGAGCACGCTCGAGTGGTGATCGTAGACTTTCAAGGTAATAGAGGGTAGAAGGAGGGTTCAGGTAAGTTAAGGAACCCTTCAAGGAATCCTTGAAAGGAACCCTATACATACGTGGTTCCGAATCAAGTCGGTCGGTGCTTGCCAGAGCTCAGCGGCTTTCACTGCTGAGCCAAGCTTTGAGTGCCGATCTCCAGCTCCTAAGCCCTAAGCCCCTCATAGAACCTTAAACTGTCGTGTACTCTCAGTGCGAGCTCCGCCGCCTCAGCACAAGGAAGAAGAAAAAGTAGGATCTTGATTCTAAGGTCATCCCCAGTCCCCCCCAAAACGGTTCAGAGCTGGTTCGCCTAAGTTCTGGGTGTTGCGACGGCATACGCTTTTCCCACTCTTTGGAGTGTCAGATGGCTGGTTCTGGGTTGCCGGTATGTATGTGGGCAGCTTTCAGTTTAGTACCTGCACGTGAGCAAACTCCAGAGCTCCGCTGTGCAACACGGGGGGCCGTGGAACAGGAACGCCCGCTGATGGATCTTGGTGAGTGCTGCTGCGGGTGCTTCCTTCTTAGTGCGCCCTAGACCCTAAACCCAAAGCCCTCAGCCCTAAACCCTGTACCCTAAAAAAAGCTGCGTGTGCAGAGCTGTCGCGGCTTTGCAGCTGTCTTCTTCCCGCTGCTTGATGCGCCAGTTGCTGGGTAGCTACTGACTGCTTTTTGCCTGCAGTCGATTGTGGGTTTAGAGTTTAGGGTTTAGGGTGTTGCTGCAAGAATGCCATCGCAACAGCAACCAGCACTGAGAGGGAAACAGTATTGCCGCGCTTGGTTGGAACTTGAGCAAGGCTTTCGCTTCAACTACAGCTCACTGCTCGAGCTGATCTCGAGGTGAGGAGACCAAGCAGAGCATCCCGCATCCGCCCTTGTTGTGTTTGTTCTCCATGTTCTCCATGTTTGCCCTAAACCTGCCTTCGCTCGACAGAGCAGCTTCTGGTCTTTGGTATTCTGAGCTTGGCCAATGGCTTTACTTCAGACGATGTGTGGCCTTTTTGTGTGTTAGGTTCAAGCTTGGCGGAGGGAGCCCAGCTGCTTCCTCTACAAGTAGCCCGCTGCCTCGCCCCTTTTCCATCTTCCAGCAGAGTCACCTTCAACCGCCTTGAAAGCTGCCAGCTGCAGCAGCCGCTGCGTGCACCTCTGCCTGAAGCGAGTGGTCAAGTGTTGTCAAGAGGATGCCGACATCTGCGCAGCTCACAGCCCTCTGCAGCTGGTGCCTCAGAGTCGACGTTGCTTTAAACTGCGCAAGGCCTCGCTTGCAAGGCGGGGCGAGGTTTGGGGAAGTCTGATGTTAGGCTCATGGATTCACGAGGCTTGAAGGCCTAACGCTGTTGGTGAGAGGCTGCCATCTTCTCAAGGCCAGAGAGGCTGAGGTCCGAGAGCAAAGGCCTTTAGGTGCGCCTGGCGTTTCTGCGTTTTCGGGTGATGCCGAAGCGGCGGCGGCCGCCGGCGGCGTAATGGCTTGGGCTGTTTCTGCGGAAGTTCGCGGCGGGTCGCGTGCTGCCTTGGGCTGCGCATCACCGCAAGAAGTTTCGCCATGAAGCTCCAACGGCGTTCGGGCGTCAGAAGTTTGTGCGAGCGAAGCAGGGTGGTGCAAGATCAGCACGCTTCCATCGCAGCTGCAATATTGAAATTCCGTGCCTTGTCGGCGTGACCGCGCGATACCAGGCTGAATTTAATGCGCACGCCAATAATAGCTACGTTGCTTGCTGAGTTCGCTGCGTTTCTGATGAGACACTACAGAAGCCACACGCCCGAGCAGGAAACCTGCTTGAGAGGCAAGGCGCCAAAGCATGGATAGTCATGAAACTCTCGATGGGAAGCAATGTGAGCCCGCCTCTGCTGTCGTTCTGACAACCGCAAGCTGGGCACCCTGATGACTCATTGACAGCCGGGCCTTAGTGCCTTGTGCAATCCGCACCGCACTGCGCGCAACTGTTTGTAAGGGATGCTTTTTT